GAGGGCTGTGTCTGCCGGGTTCCTTTGCAACCAAGGGAGTTTTCTTTTTAAAATCTCTTTGCAATTACTAGCTATTCCATGGGGAGACTCTGTCATCCAGTGATTTAATGTCCACTGATGATGTTTGCCTGAATCCTAATTTCTCCTACTTGTTGGCAAAATGGTGTTTGCTTCTGACTCTTTTCCAGCTACGTGCAAACCATTTAAAGAAGATATGTCTTTTGTCTCTCCTTCCTTCCTTCATTCTTTAAAACTCTGTCCACGTGGATTTACATTTTTCAACATTCGATGTGGTGTATGGCATTCCTATTGTTGTTCATTTTGATGTTCAAATTGTTCCCTATTGGGCTCTCAGGAACCTACTTCAGACTAGTTCCTGTGTCTTTTTCTGACTGGCCCCTATCTTTTTGGGGAAGCAATTCCTTACTTTGTGGCCTAACTATACTTTCACTGCCCCAGCCTGAGGCTTCAAATTAGCTATTTTTTTCTTCTAAATAATTAGCACTTTATTTAATGGGCATTGATATCAGAGACCAAAATCTGGGTGCTAGGTGTGTGCCTGGTGGCTGAGGTGCTGCTGCTTCTAGAATGTTTGTGGACACAGAGCTGGGAAATTCTTATATATTTTTCAAAAGGAGTTTTACTGACACTTAAGCACCTAGCCTCGTTGCAGAACATGAAGTCTGGTTCCCTCAAACTATCAACCTATTTACACATTGGCCCAATCCTTCCGTGCACACCGAATAGTGGTTGAACTGTTACCCCTAGACCACTCTCAACCAAAAAACAAACAAATAAATAAATAAATAAGTGAGGTTCAAGACTGCTGCTTTTCTTTTCTTTAGACAGATCTTTAACCAAAGTGCTGTATTCAAAGGCTACTTGGAGTAATCCTCGCCTCTCCTGTGGATATAGCCTTCATTTGATATAAAGTTAGGTTCATTTATTTCTGTTTCTATTCCATTTTTGTTTCCCCCATTTGTTGGTTTTATTCTTTTGGATATAGAAGACATTAGAATCATTCTGAAGGTCAAACCATACAAAATGTAGACATAGGGAAGAGCCACTTCCTCTGCTCTCCTCTTATTCTCCACGCCCCTCTAGGTCATCAGCTTCATTTGTTTGTCCCCCTGCCTGTGTCTTTTCTTGCAGAAACAAGCAGATGCACATGCATTCTAACACATTCTTTTTGACCCAACACATAGCATTCTTTCTACACTTTTCCATACTATCTTTTCCTCTCTTCTTAGCGAGATCTTTTGGGGCTATCACTGAACCCCACATCATTTCACAGAACTGCTCCTCATTCTCATTGCACAGCAGTGCAGTTCTTTATTAAGTGAGGTTTTATAGTTTCTGCCGTTATTCCTCTAGGTAAAGGCATTTAGGTCACTTCTGAAATTTTTCAATTACAAGTGCTGTTGCCGTGAATCAGCCCTGCCTGTGTGCTCTCACAGCCCGGTGGGCAGCTTCAGGGTATGTTCCTAGAAGCGGGGCATCCTGGGGTCAAGGACAAATACATACGCAGTTTTGTTCGATCTGACCAAACCCCCCCCCCTATTTTGCATTTCCACCAGCAGTAGATAAGCGCATCCCTCTCCCAGCCTGTAGCAGAGTGTGTTGTAGAGTGATGGATGAGAAATGTTATCCCCTTCTAGTTTTCATTTACATTTCTCTTCCTTTGAGTGAAGCAGCATTATTTTTTTTAAACAAGGGGGTCGCTGTAGAAGGTCTTTCTAAGGAGATGACTGAAGCCACAGGGAGAAACATGGAGAAAACTGGGGAAAGAGCTTTCCCGATGAAGGAATAGCAAGAGCAGAGCCCCTGAGGCCCATATGAGCTTGATGTGTTCAAGAGCCTGGAAGGCCTCATAATGTAAGTAGAGGGAGCAAGAGAAATTACCTGGCGATGAGGCTGTCAGACACCAGCCGGGGCGGACATCCCAATCCCGGGGTCAGGGAAGTTTTTCTGTAAGAGGCCAGAGAATAAAGATTGTCAGTCTCACTTGTCATACCTCTCAACCACTCTTTGAAACAACTCAACACTGACATGTAGACAGGCAAGATGTAAACAAATGGGCCCCTCTGGGTTCTGATAGAAGATTAGTTGTGGACACATGTTTGAAATTCGTGTACTTCTCACACTGAGATATTATAATTCACACAGCATAAAGTTCATGCCACTCAGTAGGTTTTGGTATAGTCATGATCTTGTACAATCCCCTCCATTATCTTAACTTCACATTTTTTTTTAAAGGTTTATTTATTTGTACAAGAACCGGGGTCCAGGCCAGATGTGCGGGAGGGTGAGAGGAGCCACCAGAGACAGAGCAGGGAACAGAACAGGCAGACTGACTGAAATACACCGCTGAGGGGAGCAGTGGTCGAGACAGGAGAGGTCTGTTCGCCACGTGGGTATCTCCACGGCCGGTGGGGATCGAACTGACACTGCAGAAGCTGTTGACAGCTTCACAGTGCCGCCTGTGCCACCAGGGAGGCCCTTTACTTCACATTTTTATCACCCTCCCAAAAAAGAATCCTCACACCCTTTAACAACCAGTCATAAAATGCACCCCCAACCTGCACCCCATACCTCTGCAAACACATACCTGCTCTGTATGGATTTGCCTGTTTCGAACATTTCGTATAAACAGAACTGTACAATATGTGTGGTCTTTGGGTCTGGCTTCTACCACTTAGCATGTTTGCTAGGTTTGATGCATATCATTGCATATGTCAGGATTCCATCCCCCTTTCGGGGCGAAGTAATATTCCTGTCTATGGCTCTACCACATTCTGCTTGCCCATTCAGTTGTTAGACATCTGGGTCGTTGCCACTTTTGGTTCTACGAAGAACACCGCCACAAACGTGTGTTCTCACTTTTGTGTGAGCATATTCTGGCTCTCCTGGGTAGGTACCTAGGAGTAGAATTGCTGGGCCACATGGTCATTCTATCTTTAACACTTGGAGGAAGTGCCAAATGAACTTCACTTTTGTGGGCCACAAAATAGCTTTTTTCTTTCTGTTCCTTTTTTTCCCTCATCCATTGACTTATAGCAAAGCTGGTCTTAGCTAGTAGGCTCCCCACAAACAGCAGGTGGGGTGGGTTGAAGCCACAGGCTTGTCAACCCCTGTTGTAGGAGGTAGAAGGAACTGAGACTTTACTATTAGAGTGTGATGGAAAACATCTTTATTTACAGGGTTGGAGGGAGCATGCTGATAAGGATTACTTGGATTAATTTAAGGCAGGGGATGTGTACTTCCTTTAAGCCCCCTGGGCATGGCTACTGTTTATTTTTTTTTTTAAGATTTATTTTATTTATTTATGCATACAAGAGCTGGGGTTTAGGCTAGAGGTTTGGGGACAGGGTGAGAGGATTCTCCACAGACACAGAGGGGAGCAGAACAGGTGGATCCACTGAAATACACTGCTGGGGGGAGCAGCGGGGAGACAGGAGAGGTCTGCTGCACCATGTGGATCAGCTCACTGGCCAGGGATTGAATTTGTGCTGTAATGGCTGCAGACAGCTTCATAGCTGAGACTTAACCCCTTGTGCCACCAGGGAGGCCCCATGGCTACTGTTTAGAGGAAAGTTCCTCTTGAAGATTGGTTCATTCAAAATCCTGATGATATTTTGATGATTTTTAACTTAACAAATAAGGACTATCTCAAGGTTTAGTGGCTTGGAAAAACCACTATTGATTGGAAAAATAAAGAAGAAAAACTACTAGCATTGCGCACACACAGGCATGTTCACACATTACATCCCAACAGTGTGTTCCACTCTAGTTGGAAGAGCCACATAGCCATGTAAACGTCTTCTCTCACTTGACTATTGATCTCATGATCCAAAGAAGATCCTTTACCGATGTGTGCCTTACCTGGCATTTACATTCTAGAATGAATATGAAGTCAAACAATTGTAACTTTCAGAAATGTAAAATTTGAGGACAATTTTCTTGGAAATTAAAATGAATCTGATGATCTGGAAAAAAAAAATTCTCATATTCTGCTCTCCACTGCTCTACTCTCCACTGCTCCCGGTGCCTCTAGTTTCTTGTCTGTATGACGTTAAAATGGTACCCACTTGAAAGGGTTGTCGTGAGGTTTGAATAAGTTAATCCATATACAGCAGTGAAAACAGGGCCTATATAAGTAGTTGCTATTATGATCATTATTATTATTGAGATGCTGTCATTGCTATTATTGTCTAGCCAGCCTCAGCTCAGGCCTCATCCTCCTGCCCCTTGAATATCACAGCTCCAGTTTCTGCCCTCCAATCTCTTCTCAGTACCAACCCGTCCTCAAAGGATATTCTAACAGCCCAATCCAGGGCTGTCCTTCTCCTGCTCCATACCTTCCTTGGCTCCCTAGTGCCCTTGGCATTGATCAAAGCCAACCAAGCTCCCCGGCCTGGCTATGTCCCGGCCCCTTTCTCTGGCCCCATTTCTTTTACTGTGGTTCATGTTTTAGCCGCGTGGACGCACCAGCTCACTGCTCCTCCCCCAGGAGTGCCCACGCTGCTCCCTGGCCGGGAGTGGCATCACTGTGTCCTCCTGCTCTTCCACAAGCCCATCCTTCAAGACTTGGACAGAGGCCCATTTTGCAGGCAGCTTTCCTTGGTCCCGCTACCCCACCCTGCCCTCGCCCTTGCCCCTGCCCCAGGTGGTCCAGAGCAAGGTCCGGACTCCCTGCTACTGGTCTCCTTGTAGCGCATGTCACAGGGAGACTGCTGGCCAGTGTCCAGATCTGCCTTCCCCACTGCATTGGGAGCTCCTGACCAGCAGATTGGGGAGGGAGGGAGGAGGGTGTTGCTTCATCTTGGGGACCTGTGCGCCCATCCAAGGCCCAGCACACGGGGCCTTCAGTGGATGGAAGGCAGCCCAGGATGGCGGGGAGCAGGGGCGGGGTAGGATGAGGTGCGCTGGAGGGTTTGGGGGGAAGCTGAGGGGAGCTCTGCACCTTGGTCATGGACCAAAGGCATCCCTGTGCTCCCCAGGCCTCTCCTTGGTGGTGGGCCTGGTCCTGTACATCTCCAGCATCAACGACGAGGTCATGAACAGGCCCAGCAGCTCTGAGCAGTATTTCCACTATCGCTATGGGTGGTCTTTTGCCTTCGCTGCTTCCTCCTTCCTACTCAAAGAGGTGAGGTCTGTGGGGCCCAAATTCAGTTTTGAAAGGGGAGGTGGGGGGGTCTGATTACCGGGCCACAGAGGAAGAGGAGGTAGGCGTGCAGACTCTAGATTGAGGGGGACGGGGCAGCCGGAGGCTTGATCCCTAGGCCCTAGAGGAGAAGGGCCCAGGGGCCTGACTCCTGGGGCCGAGGAAGAGGAGGTGGGTGGGAGGAGGAGGCTGGAAGATGAGGCTGCTGGTGTCTGGGGAAGGAGAGGACTGGGGTCCTAGTCCCCCCCCCACCCCGGGAGGGGGAAGCCGAGGCCTCGATTCCTGGGTGCTGGGCGAGGCGGTGGCCGGGTGGCCCCTGGCAGCTGACGCGCCTTGTGCCGCAGGGGGCCGGAGTGATGTCGGTGTACCTGTTCACCAAGCGCTACGCCGAGGAGGAGATGTACCGCCCGCACCCCGCCTTCTACCGCCCGCGCCTCAGCGACTGCTCCGACTACTCCGGCCAGTTCCTGCAGCCCGAGGCCTGGCGCCGCGGCCGCAGCCCCTCGGACATCTCCAGCGACGTGTCCATCCAGATGACGCAGAACTACCCGCCCGCCATCAAGTACCCCGACCACCTGCACATCTCCACCTCGCCCTGCTGAGGCCCGGCTCTCCGGCCCCCCCCCGCGCCCCCCCCGCGCCCCCCCCGCGCCCCCTCTCCCCCCCCCCCCCCCCCCGTCTCCCGGCAACGCCCCCGCCTGCCCCCGGAGGCCCCGCCCCGACCCCCACCTTCCGCCGCACCCTGGGGGCTCTGGGCTGGAGAGCAGGCTCGGGCCTCCGGGAATGCCAGCCGTCCTGTCCCCCCAACCCGGGCCCCTCTCTCCTGGCCCGTCTCACCCCTTGACCCTGGGTCCCCTGGTGTGCTGGGGTGGGTTTTGCTCCCCCTGCAAGGGTCTGCAGGCCCAGGGTGGGGCTCACCTGGTCCCCGTTTCTCTCTCTCACACACACACAAAACCGTCTGCTCCCCTGGGAGATCCCTCTCTCTCTGACGGGGCTCTTCTCAGCCTTCTGAGGGTCACCTGCCGTCTAGGGGCGGCTGTCTGATGGATCTTCCCGCTCTCTCAGCTGACCTTGGCTTCTCTACCCCCCTCTCACCCCCCCTCCCCGCCTTCTCGTCCGAGGCCCCCGGGTGCATCCGCCCCACACACCAAATGACTCCCGGATGGGAGCCCACGGCTGGGAATTCCTTCCTGCCGTTTCCACACCTGTGCCCGCCTCTCCCCCCTCGAGGCCCCGTCGGGGGAGGGAGAGGCAGTAGCGGGGGTCGACACCCCCCAAACCTTCAAGTCTTCCATTTTCTGGCTCTCCCCCTCATTGAAGTCCCCCTTCCCATCTCAGACCCCCAACACTGGCCTCTTTCAAGGGTCCGTTCGCCCCCTTGGACAGATTTGGGGGGGTCACCAGAAACTCGCTCGCCCCCCTTATTCAAGGAGGAGGGGCGGGGTAGCACAGTGTTATACACGGAACCAGAGTGGCCCCCGGGGTGGGGGGAGGGGGGCAGGGGAGGAGAGGGGGCTTTTAGTTTGCATCTTGGGGGGGGGGGGGAGGGGAACCCGCCACAGTTAACCTGTCTTTACGCAGCGATTTTTAACGCGGCTGGGGGAGGGGGGCTTGCGGGAGGGGAAGGGGTGGGGTGGGGGGCCTGGCTCTGTTATTTACCGTGTATCATATGTAAATACAGACAGAAACTTCAATAAACTTTATTTCAAACACGTCTCTGCCTGCCCAGGGGGAGGGCACTGCATCCAGGGGCCTAGTCCCAGCTTCTTCCACGCCGGGCCGGGTCCGCCGGGTCCGCGTGTTGCTGAGTAAGGCTGGACTGGCCTTTGCGAGCTGCCTGGTCATCGCAATTACCCACAGCAGCGCTTTATGGTTCAGCCCCTGCGAGCGCGGAGGACAGCAAACGACACCCACCTGGATAAATAAAAACGCGCTCCTGCTATTACCACGCTTCCCTCGACATTTATTGCTCCACTTGACAGTCTCCCCAGCCGGAACATTGCGTTAATTGGACTCATTTTGTAGATCGGTCCCTGGAGGTGAAATGACTCACCCAGGGTCACGCAGGTAGACGTTGGCCGACCCTGAGCGCTGGAATTGGTTCAGCGGCTCCCAAAATGGGACCTTCCTTCGCCTGGCACCAGGGGGCAGTGGATCCCCCCAAAGCCTGGCTCCTTCGCTCTGTTGAGAAACATCTGCTGCCATTTATTGCTGACCTACCGTGAGCCTGGCACTTCCTTCCACCAGGCGTTCCCAGAAGCCCTGTATGTGGGAAATACAGCACCCCCCCCCCAAAAAAAAAACACACACACACACACACACTCCGCAGGCGAGGGGATGGAGCGTCAGGGTGGGTCCTAAATCTGGTCTAACCCCCCCCCACACACACTGAGGGTTTGAAAACAGCCGTAAAGCTTGATAAGTTTATTCTTAAAATGTGCCGCAAAGGAAACCAACTGAGCGCTAGCATTTCACTTCTGTCCCTCGTCTAGATTTAGCCTCTTCAGAGGCTGTGGGAAATGCTGCAGTCTCGTCCACAGCAGAGAAGGACCACAACCACACTCACCGAGCTGTCGTTGCGTGTCAGGCGCTCGACCTTTGCATTCATTAATTCTTTGGATTCTCCCCAACAGCCTGCAACTAGGTATTCCAACAGCCCCACCTTACAGATGAAGAAACAGAGGCTGGAGAGGTAAGGTCACCCCAGCGGGCAGGACAGAGAGGGGAGAACTCACACCCAGGCCTGTCCCACCCCAGAGTCTACTCACTAAAGGGTGAGATTGTCCCCCTACTTGTTTGATGCAAACTCATATGACCTTGAGCTGGTCTTTTAATCTCTGGGCCTCCAGTATCCTTCTCTGTAAAGAAAAAAATAGCAAAACAAAGGGGTTGGCTGAGAAGGACTCCAAACCTGTCTGGAACAAGGAGAATTAGTGGGGGTGCATTAGCAGGAAAGAATTAAGAGTCAGCAGGATCAGACTCCCTGAGGGAAATATTCTGAGTCATGTTTAATGATTTCAGGAATTTCTGGAGGCCACGGTTGAGATTTGGGATGACAAATCTGTGTCAGCCTTATCATCAGGACTAATGGATGAGGATGTACTGGTAGCCTAGTGGCTACCAGCCGCCCGGAGTTGAGAAGGATTTTGAACACTCCCTCAATGGGAAATCATGTCCCCACTGATGGGTGCTGTCTGCCGCATCTGCGGGATGGGCCATGAAGGTGCAAATGCTGGGGAGTTGCTGGTTTTGTCCGGATCTAAACAGCCTGAAATCCTAAAGTTTTCTTTTTTTTTAATCAAGCCAGTTTTTTTTTTCCTTGCTTCCTATTTCATCTTTAACATTTAGCCCACTTTTTTTGAAAATGGAGTAGGAGTCTTTTGTTGTTTTGGGTTTTTTTTCAAGGAATACTGTGAAAAGTCAGTCTTTCTTCTGACCTGACATCCAGAAATCACCCCTCTTCCTGATTACTATCATCTTTTAATGTATACTTACAAGAATACTACATGCATATTTGAGATCACAGATCCATGTGTTTAAATCCACCAAAGGCAGATATAGAGCATATACTTGTGTGCTTGACATTTGTCATTAAACATTTTCATTTAGAATTTATCATACCATGCCCGCAGTTCTGTCCCTTCCAATTTCACATGATGATGTCTTATGGCGATCATTTAGAATGTGTTATATAACCCTAACTCAGTGTTTGTCAAGGTTGCTTAATAGCAAGAGTTTGCATAAGTTAATTGCATAATTTATTGAGTGTTTCCTATGTGCCAGCCACTTTATATTCAATAACCCAAGGACACCAGTGCTTTTATTATCAATGAGACCCTGAGCCACACAGAGGTTAGATAACTCTCTCTCCTGGTCACACAGCTAGAAAATGGGCAAGCTGAAATCCTGAGAGTCTCCTGAGCCTACCATGCTTAACTTCTAATCCCCTCCAAGCATGTTAAAGTCACCGAGTTCCATCTACTACTCTATTGCCATTTTACAGTCTTATGTTCTCGTGTAGTTTACAGGACAATACTGCACATTAGTGGTTGTCAAAGATTGGCCCAGAGACCCTGGGCCATCCCTGAGACCCATTTAAGGGGTCCACAAAGCAAAATCATTTTAATAGTAATACTAAGTTAATATTTGCCATTTTTACTCTTCATCTCTCATGAATAGAGTCCAGAGTCTTTAGAGGTTTCATAAGAGTGATGACACAATAGGTCGAATACAGAAGTAGATCTTCCATTTGGCCAAACAATGAGCAGATTTTCAAAAATAACTAACAATACCACTATATATTTTTTGTTTGGGAAAATACAGCTGTTTTCTACTGAGGTAAGTTGTTTATGTAAACATGCAATGGGTTTATTATTATTTGCTTTAAAAAAGGCATGTTTTGAAATAATCTGTTTGAATTTTGAATATGTTCAATATCGATAGATGTCATTAGCATGCTCTTTGGATGTCTCTACAACTGTCACTTGCATGGAGGGGTTCTGAGAGCCCAGGGCTTGGGCAGCTCTCCGTGTGTTGTGGAGGCGACGTATGAGGTGTCAAGGATGGCTTCATTTTTGTCAATGACTCCATCGTGGTTCCTTTAATGGAGGTGATTTACTTTAACCATAAGCTTATATTTATTTTACGTGTAACACCTCGTCATGGTTTTCACATGGAAGCAGTAGAGCAGGGTAGAAAGAAAAAGGTGACTTTCTTCTTTCAGTCTTCTCAATCCCACACTTATTTCCCTATTATTATCAGTTTCTGCCTTTAGACCAGGTGGTTTTGCCCCCAGGAGATAGTGGGCGGTGTCTGGGAAAATTTTTGGATGTCACTGCTGGGGTGGGGGGGTTGCCCAATGCATACAAGCCGGGGATACTGCTCAAATCCTCTAACACCCAGGACAACCCCCCGCCCCCGCCCCCCCCACACACACACACAGGCCACCAGCTCTAGGATGCGTCTGGTGCTGAGGTGGAGAAAAACCTGCTTTGACTGTTTTCTATGTGTTTATATATGCTCCCTTGCTTTTTTTGGAATTTATTGTTATTATGATTTTATGAGATTTTGCTAAATCAAGTTTTAAGTAAAGACTTTTGCAGGGAACTAGGGATCCCTTTGAGAATCAGATGAAAGCTCTGCCACCACAACTGGAAAAGAACACCCGTATTCACAAATTTTTGCACATAACAGAAAGGACTTCTTCTCACCCCTCCCCCCAACAAGCTGTGCCATGGGATTTTGAATAGCAGTCCCAGGACACCCCATCCAGAGGACAAGGACTACCTGCACCCCTCCCCTTTACAGAAGAGAGGATGGAGGTGCAGAGAGAACAAGGGTTTGTTTCTGGTCCCTGGGGAAGGCATGGAAAAGCAAGGATTGGAACTCAGGCCACCTGACGCCCCAGCACTGGAATATTTCCACTTCACCCTGAATGAGGACGATTTAGAAACGCTGATCTTGTCTTCCTGGTACAGCGGGGAAAACACGCCGCCACCACTCTGTTCCTCTAGAGAAAACACAAAGGCCCCAGCTGTTGTTGATGAGAAACACTCAAGCACCTGGGAGAGGCCCATTCAGGAAAGGAGGCGGGGAGAGGGGTTGGACAGGGACAGAGGTTGTAA